TTCAACAATATTATGCTACAGAACAAAAGAAAACCAAAAACCAATATAAGCCCTTATGCAGAATTGATCATTTTCAATATAACAAAGGCATATTTTTTCTCTAAAAAACATTTTAACAAGCCTAAAGGAGGATTCAACATTTTGTATGCTACAGACAAAAAAACCCAAAACTAATCTAAGACCTGAATCCTAATGCAGAATTCAGTATTTCATTCGACGATCTCATCTCAAAAACCCAATTTACGACTCGAATCTAACCGAAACAAAAAAAAAACTCAATTATGAGGAGAAACAAAAAAAAAACCCAATCAATTTGATCCCAATTGGAATTTCATGGGAGCTAAATGATACATATAACATCGATTCAGATCAAAGAACCCTAAAACACATACCGATCCAAATCGAGGAGTTTCAGCAGAACCCGAAATCTCAGCACGTACAGACTCAGAAACTCGAACTTCTTCGATCTGAAAATTCTTCGGTTCTTTACCGGCGGAGATATGGCACTTAACGTCGAGAACCCTGATCTCAGCATCAGCAACCATCGTTTGACTCAGAATCATTATGATTTTCTACACTTGATTATAATCCAAAAACTAGCAGATCCGATTGTGAAAATCAACCGGAAAAAACAAAAACAAAAAAATCAACGAATAAATCCGAGAAATTTGGGGATATTGGAGCTTTGCTTGGACGCAATTGAAATTCGCCAAAAAAGAATAGGAATAAGGAAATTAGGGTTTGGTTTTCTGTGTTGGATGTTTATTTGCATATTTCTGGATTTACAGATACCCATATTAAAAAAAAAAATTAAATAAAAATATATTAAAAATCTCTTTTTTTTTTTGTCAAAGGAAAGGAAGTCGTCAACTTTTTCTTATAAACAACAATTTCTAATAATGGGCCTCTATAATATGGGCCTATAGAGTCGGTACATAAAAGCTAGCCCTAGCTAGGGCTCATAACGATCTTACTTTCCTTGCGAGGTACGTTGCTTCTTTATAAC